CCATCGAGCCATCACAGTAGGCTCAGGCATGTTGCCTTGTTTTTTCTTTTCTTTAAAAATTACCATGTTCCTTCCTTCCTTTCTGCCTTCCTGACTGCCTTCCTTCTTTCTTTCTTCTCTTCCTTCCTTCCTTTCTTCATTTTGCTTAGGACATCGTGACAGATGACCTTGTTGCTGGCAACCAGATGAGCCCTGCAGACTGGGACGTTAGTACCAGCCCTTCCCCTGCCATGGCAACTGACCTGGCTAGGAATGTGCCTAGAGCCCAGGGCCTTTGCCACATGGGTATGGTTCAGGTGTATTATTGCCTGTGTCCCCTCGGAGTCCCAGAAATGAGTCAGCTGTACCTTCCAGGAATCCCTGCCATGATCTGCTTTGCTTATGGTCCCACTGATGGCTTTGGCACTGGTGGGGAGCCCCTGCCTTCCTGTTCAGTTGGCGTCTGATGCCACAGGATCTCTGACCTCAGGGACCAGATCTTTGGGATGTGCCCTGACCTCAGTGTACACAGCTGCATGTGGGACACTGCCTTAGCAGGCCCTTTTGCAAGAGAGAGGAACTTTCTCAGGAAAACATAAAAGATAAGCCAGGCTAGTCCAGTGAACCAGGACCTTAAATACCTCTCCTAAAAGCAAAAAGAATCCGGCACCTTTGCTGAGAAATGAGGACCATGCTGCGGACACAGCCATTGGCACTGACTGGAAATTCTCTGACTCCTGAGATAGACCCATTAGATGACACGGAGATTTCCAAACCGAGACCAGGCAGGGCTCATGTCCATAACCAGCAGGAAGTAATTGCAGAAGATGTGATGAATCTTCATCCTTCAGCAATCCTTAAGATTAAGGTCAGAACTATCTGAGGAAGGATGAAATGGAATAGGCAGGTAACTGCTTAGGCTCAAAGTTGGAAACCACGCACTCCTCCCTGACACTGTCATCCTATCCACCTGTCTGTCAATCAGATGACCCCTTCCCCATAGGTACTTCCCTCACTGGCACTTGGATGTGGTATCAGGTAACCATTACCTGTTCCAGGCATGAAGTGGCACCCTTCTGGGATGCTGGGCCACAGGTGAGAGTTAGCTTACTCCACCACAGTGACAGCCCCTGGAATGGGTTCTTAAGTCAGGTATGCAGGGTTCGGGGCGCTCACTGGTAGGATACTGCCCACTGGACTGTTAGTTCTCAGCTGTGGGGCAGGGTAGCTGCTCTCACCTGCATACATCCTCATAATAGCCCTGTGAGAATCAGTGACTGAAGGCAAAGTAACTGTGGTAGAGATGCCCACATATGGTGGAGTGTGAGCTCACTGGAGTGTTGCATGGGATTATGTGATTTGACAACCCACATGGCGTCAGTTCATCTTGGTGAGATGCAGATCCCCTCGCCAGCAGGACAGCTAGAGTCACTGTGATGTGGCAAGCTCAGTGACTTGTGTGGCCTTTATCCTTGAGGACATCCCTGTGTTGATGAATGGAATTCTGTGTTCCAGGGGTCCTGAGCAAAGGACATTCATGGTTTCATTGGTCTTTGCAGTCCTAGGCACAATATTATCCGCCATTAGTGGGTTGAGGAAAATGGAACAAGGATGTCAAACCATGATGAATCACAGAGCTTGTCATGGTCAAAGCCAAGATGCCAGTTCCAGCCTAAGCAGAGTGCATGCCTCTCTGCCCAGTCCTCCTGTTGGTGGAGGGCCTGACCATCCCTAATCAGAGGAAATAAGTGGCCCCTCTCCCAGATCCTCGGCTGCTTCAGGACACCAGAAGCACATGAGACCTCAGAGCTGAGTCCCTGAGATACCCCAAGACCAGCTTGGGGTTTGCTCAGTCCTTGCATCCTGCCATTTTCATCTTATTTGTCCTTCCTCTTTGGGCTCATTTTACTAAGGGGGTTTGGGTGTTCTTCCCCTAAGGTCTCTGGAAGGTTCTGGAAGTGTCAGAGAAGAACTTGAAGATCACCATCAGGCAGAGAATGTGGATCCTCAGGTAAGCCAGCTGCATCTGTGCTAAACCTGATGGAACGGATTCTGTTTATGTGTTACCAAAAAGACAGCATCACACAAATTTCATTTGAAGCACTCATTGCAGTTCTAGAATTGAGCAGCACTTCAATGAATGCTGCAACCAGCAGAGCAGAAGGGGTTGGTTTCGTAGACAGAAGGAGCAGATAAGTCACTTCAGAATTGCTTGTCTTACAAGGTGCACCCTGGAAGACAGAGTAATGGCCCACTGATGGGTTGGCATCAGGTTAAAAGGTTGAAGCAGGGGGAATTTCCTCTTTCAGACTGCACTGGCCTGTTGATGAAAGCAGGCTGTTCTCTTCTCCCCTTTCTCAGGTCAGTGACAACCGAGTTTCTAGGGACGTGGGTTTTTGATTGTGCCATGTCCTGCTGGGCTGCAATGCAGGAGCTTCCTCTGAACCAGGGCTTCTTGTAACTTTAGTTTACCAGTATTCATTAGCCATACAGTGAACAATACTGATGACAAGTGTTCACAAGTACAGGGATACAAGAACTTATAACCTGTCCACATATCCACACATCGTTGCTACACGAAGAGGGCTTCTTCCTTTGTGCTGTGTAATGGCTCCTCCGGAACAGAACCTGTCCTCTGGCTCCTGCCCCCTGTGCTGCCAGCCCTCTAGGTACCTATCAGGGATAGGAGGCCGAGGGTCAGGTCCCTGGTCACTCCTCTGGAGAGCGTGAGTCACACAGTGCTGTGGGCAGGCGGTGTGTGAGAGAGCACTTTAGTTCTTGTGGTCATCGGTCCACCCAGAATAGCAGGTCCCAACAGGAGAACTCCCACCTTCTGCTCACAGGACCACTCTGGCCACCCTCTTGCCGTCCTGGGCTAGGTGGTCTCAAATACCTATTCCAGGTTCTTAGAGACCATCTAGTACATCTTCTGAAGTGATGAAGTTTGTTTAAAAGGTGAGGAAATCACACCCATGTGGGTATGTAGAGGAGCAGAGTGGCCCAAAAATGGGGAGGGTGGAAGAGGGGTGCTTTTTCCTCTGCATCTGCAGGAAGAGTGAGTGAGTGAGAGCATCCTTGAGTGGGAGAGCCCCTTCTTGTTAGGGCTCTTACAGGGTTCCAAAAGGGAGTGGTTATGTGACCCCCGCCCCCCAACAGGTGTGAGGAAGTATCCCCTGGGAAGGGGTCCTCTGACCTACAGATAGGGATTACATAGCGTGGGGAGGTGTGGCTTCCAGCTCCTGACTGCTGTGCCAGCTCCCTACATTCCTCTCCCATTTCATCACTGTTCTGGGGAAAGGGCACGAAGGACGGAGGCTACCTCAGGTCTTACCTCACAGGAAAGAAGGATTTCCCCACAGACAAATCAAGAAACAAAGTGAGATTTATTCAAGACAAACCTGCTGCAGGATTGAGTGGGGCTCTCAGAGAGGAAAACCCGAGAGAACGGTGGGGGTGGTGTCTTTTCAGCATAATTCAGATGTCCATTATGACAGCTAATAATCAATGAGAGGAAGGCACAGAGTCCTTCATTGGGCCAGGATCACAACCCTGTCTAGCTTGTCTCTGGTGAAAAGCCCAGAGGAAGGATAGGATAGGATTGGTAACTTCTTTCTTTTGTTGTGATAAAAGCAGGAACTCCGAAGGATAAAGTGGCACTTTGGTGTTGCTAACTCAGGCATCCTGCATACTTCTAGGGAGACTCCTCCTCTTATCTTTCCAACTACCTGTCGGGCCTGTCTGACTTTCACATGCCACTTGGTCGGCTTTGTGGGAAATCAGTAGAGACACTACTAGGCCCACCTCCAGTGCAGCTCTCAGCACCTGAGCTTCCGGGTCAGCCACTCGAACATGTTACATCATTTTTGTGTCAAGAAAAGAGGCTTGTTTGCTTAAGTTTTCACTGACAAAAGGCTTCTGTATTATTGCAGTTTCCAGGTATTTTATTTTTTAAAACAGAATATGGTGGAAAGTGGGCTGCTGGCACTGATCCCTTTTTTGAGGGCCTGAGGCTGTCTCCACACTTTCTAAACAATGGCGTCTACAGCGCCACGAGTATCTCTGTGCCTTTGTTGTCTGTGTGGGGTCACTGGGTCAGGGAGCATGGACGTTCGGGGGTTCTGCTGCCTCTCCAAGGCCTCGCCAGCAGGCACCATCCCTGAGCCCTGGGTGTGAGAGCTGCAGTCAAAGGGCTTGCTTTCCTGTTCTTCCCAACACAGCCCTCTGAGAGCCGCTGGCTGAAGTGTCTGCACAAGGACTCCCCGGAACTGGAGCTGGGAGGAGGAGTGTGTTTCCATGGATAGGGGTCACCTTAGCATAGATCTGCCACGGCCAACTTCGCCTCATGCAGGCCTCCAGCTTGAAGCCAGGAGGCCAAGTTCAGATTCTGGTGTTGTCAGGAGTAGCTTTGAGACCTAAGTCAGCTCGTGGCTCTGAATCTCCCGGTGACAGCAGAGCCTTGCTGTTCCTGTGTGTGATGTTCTTGTCAAGTCTGTTTTGTCTTGCCCTCTTTCCCATTGTCTGGGGTGCAGAGTTGCAGTGCCCACTCTGAGGTCCTGTGAAGTGGTAAGCCTAACTGTCAGGGCATCTTTGGTTGCTAAGCAGAAGCCGGTCCCCAGCAGCACGGGGAGCCTGGCACAGCCACTTGCAAAGTCCAGGTCTGAGGTGCTGTTTGCCAGGGAGGGAGCAGGTGAGGGGAGTCGGCCTCAGTCCATTCCCCAGTGGTCTCTAGGGCCTGTCTACTCCCACCTCTGTGCAGACACCCTGAGCTGACCCTCAGGAGCTGGGCCACCTGGAGCCTGGTCATGGAAACAGAGGACTGGGATGAAATGGCATTTACTCACTGTGCTTTGCCGACTTCACTGCCCAGCCTGTGGACTGGCAAGCAGCACCGTGGAAAAGTCTCATCTGGGAAACGAGCCCCAGCAGGCAACAGGACACAGCTGTCTCCTCTGATTGGTTTCAGGACTCTCCTGGCCTGAACATGAAGGTGAAGGCAGGTGGCAGTCTCTGCCTCTGGAACCATGAGGACCCACGACCCCAGGGGCTCCGTGTTGCTCATGGGGAACTGCCGAGTCAGGCCTGTCAGGCTGAGGTCACATCTTCTAAATGGGTAAGATTTCTCCCATCTCCCGTGAACAGCTCCCAGGTGGACACAAAGCAGAGGGGACCCAGACCAGCAGGTCCAGCAGAGGCTGAGCAAGGGACCCCATGGGCCCCCACCCCGAGGGAGAGCTGGGAAGCAGCCCCTGTCCAGCTTCCTCAGGTCACACAGCCTCCCAGGCCTGGTTCTGAGGGACCCTGCAGGAGGATCCCTGAGCAGCGGAGGGGCACGGGGCCTCCCCACGTGCCAGGGACACAGAAGCCTGCAGTCCTGCGGCTCTCTGACCTCTTTGCAACAGGAGAGGACTTCAGTGATGACCTGTGAGCAGAGGCCAGCTTGTCACTGATGCAGATGTGGGTGGTGCAGGAGTGCCTCTGCAGCTCCCCCTGGTGTTAATGTGTGAAAACCCCCGAAAGCTGACAATAAACACAGGACAGTGATGACTAAATGCTCATTGCATTTAATCACAGATTGCTTACAAATATAACAGCAGGGGCATTACACATGAGAGGCATCGTAGTGATGAGCTGGAGGCAGCCGCCAGAGGACACTTGCACCTCGCACTTGCCCTTGGGAGCCGCTCTCCCTCCAAGTGTGAGACCTTCTGGCTCGCTGTAGGACAGCCCTCCCTCAATCTAGCAGGTTTCTAGCAGTAAATTAACTAGCTGTTTAGAAATGAGAAAGCAGAGGCCATTAGGCAGGGTGTATTCTGGACTGCTGGCGTGAGGCTGGCAGGGGAGCCCAGTGCGCCGCTGTGTATCACCTGCACCCTGCTGGGCAACAGCAAGTCCTTCCTGGGCCACAACAGCTCTCAGAGTAGATGGCTGTTTGGCATCAAGCATATACACATGGAACTCACCAGTGACACTGTGCTGCTGCCCTAAGAGGCCTCATGCGTGCCCGCCCCCAGATTCTGGAGAAGAATGCAGAAAATCTAGCCCTTACGGAGGCCCTGCTATTCTGACTAGCTCAATGTGATTATGTGACAGAGAAGGAGATTTGAAGCGAGCCGGGCAGCAGACATTGTCACAGTGGTGGTGGGTGCTTCGAATACTGGATGGTGTCCAGGGCAGCCCCGATGTCGTAGTTCTTGGTCTGCAGGAGCCTGAGGAACCAACCACCTTTGTCAGAGAAGCCCATGGACAGCATCTGAGACAAGGACTTGATCAGCCGGGGCTCAGCCTCTGCCAAAAACAGTAACAGGAGACATGAGCGTGAGCAGGCCCATGGGTGGGGCTGACCCAAGACCCAGCAGCACCTTGGCGTTTACCCAGCAAGTACCCAGTGCCAACAGCTCCAGACACCCCTAACCTGCAGGGGTCCTCAGAAAGCTGCCCCTGAAGATGCAGAGAGCATCCCAGGCTGACCTGGCAGACCCTACAGGCTCACTGCTCCTTAAGTGCCAGGAACAAGGAAGCAAATGAGCACAGTCATGTTCCAATAAACTTTATGGACATGGTTTCCTCTGCTCCAGTCTCCTGACAACATCCTGCAGGACCCTGACCAGGGCTGAGCCTGTACACCCATGCCACTTGTTTATCTTTCATTCAGAGGAGCAGTGGACATCTGCCTTCCTGGCCGTCAAGCCTGTCAGCCATGCTCAGCCTCCTCCTGGCTCTTTCTGACCTGTCCTGAGTTCTGCCCAGTCCTGACAGCTTCCCCACATGCATGTCCCTGTCCTGGGATGCTCTCACATAGCAGGGACAGCCACGGTGCCTCCAGAGAGCTGGGCTGGGTAGCTGTGTGTCCACCCTGAGCTCCGGACAGCTTGCCTGCCATGCATTTCCTACCCAAGACAGTGTGACCTTGCTCAGGAGTCACAGCAGGGGTCAGGGGGTCCTGGCCAGGCTAGGTCCCAACATGTGGCCTTAAACAAGCTCCTTGCCCATGGAGCCCCAAAAGATAGCCCGGCACCTTCCACGTGCAGAGCCTAATGCGAGGGAGGGCCTGAGGCCTGAGGGGAGCTCCTTGACTTGCCAGGGTACCTGCTGGGACACGCTCTATCCTCCTGGAGGGTCTGCCATAACTATCAGTGGTCTCGATGTCTGACCCCTTCCCCCCACAGATGTCTGGACAATGTGGTCAATGAGCAGAGTACTTCCCCACCAGTGCCACACCTCCATGCCTTGCTGACCAGTGGAGACGAGCCTCCCACACAGACAGACATCTTTGACCTCCTCAAAGCCTCCTATGAGGTCAGCACTCCATGGGGAGGTTTGGGGGGTGACAGCCCTGCACCCCGTGGCTGTGCATTGTCTCACCTAATCATCCCCACCTGCCTGCAGAAATTCAGCAGCCTGCGGGCCAGCGACATTGAACAGATGCGGTTTAAACAGAGGCTGAAAGTGATCCAGTCGTTGGAGGACACAGCCAAGAGGAGCGTGGTATGTGGGCGTGGGGGGCTCCCACTCAGGCCTGTCTGTGGGGCAGGACGCACACTCCCCTGCTGCCTCACCACCAGTGTCAGCATTAGGATGTGTGGGACCAGGCAGGGGCATGGTGGGGAGAGGACATGGTCGTTTTATTCTGCTCCCAGATGGGCCAGTGGGAAGCCTGTCTGAGGCCCTGTTCCCCCAAAGCATAGCACCCTCTGTCTCCCACATGTCCCCTCCCCTCGCGCCGAGCATCCCACAGCTGCCCTCTGAGCACCTGCGTGCCGTGCCTCTGCCTCCAGCCTTCATCCTCCGCATCCCTGGATGGGTGCAGGTGCCCCTGCCACAGGATCTACTCATGGTCTCTTGACTGCCAACCTCATTCCCACTTCCCCAGTGCCCCCCCCCCAAACCTTTCAGACACTCTGAGGTCACAAGTGACAGAAACGGATGGCTCCAGCTGACTGAGAGCAGCTGGCTGGTGGTTTCAGGACCCCTTCCCAAGAGCTGGCACCTGGGTCACAGCAGAGGTCCAGACAGGAGGAACTAAACAATGTCCCATGTCCCCCACTCTCAGCCCACTAGGGCACAGACCTCAGGGAGCTTGCACTGAGTGGCAGGCTGGGTGGTGAGAGGCCAGCAGGGCAAGGCCCTGCCCTCAGTGGGATGGCCGACTTGCCACACTGAGGGGCAGCTCGTGCCTTTGCCCTGGTCCCTGTGACAATCTGTCTCCTGCTGCAACAGGCACTTGAGAGTCCCTCAGCCCAGCCTGTCTCTTTCTTCTAGGTCCGAGCCATACCTGGGGACACTGGCTTCTCCATTGAAGAGCTGGAAGACCTTTACATGGTGTTTAAGGTAAGAGCCGAGAACAGGGACAGGACCTGTAACTGTGACCTTGTCTTCCAAGAGCATCCTCAGCACAGAGGTTCCTGCCGGAAGAGAAGGGGTTTGGAAGCATCCGTGCATGCACTTGCTGTGAAGTCGCAGTGGTAGAAGTTAAGCCTTGTTGGAGTTTAGGCAGAACACTCCCTTAGAAAGCACAAGGCAGCTTACAGCAGAAGTTCATGGGCTCAAGGAACTGCAGAGTTGAGGGAGACAGTGTCAGGCCTGGCTGGATCCAGGGACTCAGATGCAGTGTTGTACACTCTCTCACCCTCTGATGTTCTCTGAACTGCGCTTCCTGCAGAGTCCGTGGCTGTCTGCAGCTCCAGGGACACGCTATCCCCTCAGTAGCCCCAGGACAAGGGAACCTTTCTTCCAAATGATCAGACTGACTCAAGTTAGGCACTGGATTCAAGTTAGGTTGGTGTTGACTGTTAGGCAAAAAAGAAAAAAAAATTAAGATTTATAGTCTAGTGGCTAAAGTCCTCACATTGTCTGCACTGGGATCCTATGTGGGTGCTGGTTTATATCCTGACTGTTCCATTTCCCTTCCAGCTCCCTGCTTCTGGCTTGGGAAAAGCAGTCAAGGATGGCCCAAGGCCTTGGGACCCTGCAGCCACATGGGAGACATGGAAGAGGCTCCTGGCTCCTGCCTTCAGATCAGCTTACCTCCAGCCAGGGAACCAATGGATGGAAAATCTTCTTCTCCCTTTTCTTCTCTCTGGTAAATCTGCCTTTCTATTTTAAAGATACACACATCCTAAAACTATGTTCTACAACAAAAGTGAGTGCCTCCAGGGGCCTGACGCTGCCTTGGCCTTTTCCCATGGCATCCCTGGCCAGTCTATCCTTCCCTCCCTTGTGGGGCTGGGGCAGCTGGCCGCAGGGAAGGCTGAGCTGGCCTGGCGATACTCTGAGGAAGCCTGGGACTGGCTCCTGGGCCCTCTGCAGCTGTGAGGAGGTCCTGTCCCAGCCCCCTGGAGCCTGCACCGTCCTGGGGAGCCCCTCATCATGCCCTCCTCCTGGCCTTCTCCCACAGGCGGGATGTACCACGGGGACATGACTGAAAAGCTCAAGGTGCTCTACAAGCTGCACCTTCCCCCAGGTGAGCACGTGCCCCCACACCCCTGGATTGTATGAGGCACTGATTGCACTTTAACCTGAAAGACACTGGGTGTTTACAAACTCACCTAAGAATCAGAAAGGACTTGATGACACGGCTGGCGACCATGCTGTGCTGTGACGTCATGTGGCAGGCCCAAAGGGGAAACAAATAGTGTGTGTGTCGAAGGACCCACAGGTCCTGCTGACCGTGAAGGCTTAGCTCACGGACCCGGAGGGCCTTGGCTTCCAGTAACAGGCCAAAGCAGCAGGTGTGCTTCCTGTTACACATGGACCCTGGGCAACCTGGGAAGCTTTAAGCTTGTGCTGTGTGCTTCTGGGTGCAGAACCCTGACCTCAGACCCCACAGCACCCCAGGCCCTGCACTGTCACCCATGCTCACTGAGGCAGTTGAGGGCTGGGCTACTTCTGTCCTCGCCTGTCTTCTGGCAGCAGGCCTGGGAGACCAGGGCAGCTTGTTCCTCCCCAGGTTCATGTTCACACGTGAACCGCACAGTGTGGTCCTCCTCCAGCGGATGTGCTGAGCACAGGGTTCATGTCTGTCAAGTTCCTTCCCTCCTGGTGTAGCTGTCATAGGTGTGATCCCACACACGTGACCTTTTCCTAACGAAACCACAGGATTCATCAGTTCTCAGGCTTGTCCATCACACCGCATTGCTGTTTGCATATAGGGGAGACTTGTAGTCCTCTGGAAAAAGAAAACAAAGAAGCAAACACGGAGTGGGATACAGCTGCTGCTGCTTTCAGTGATCAAGTGGGGAAATGCCCAGGCCCTCCTTGACGGTGGTGCCGGAGGGCAGAGCCCAGGGTCAGGCCAAAGCAGGAGGCTCCGTGCAGGGAACCAGAACCCGGGGCTGCTCCCGCACAAGCACAGGCTGGACCTCGGCAGAGGTGGGCTGCAGTCCCAGCTGGAGAAGAATGTGCTCCATGTTGTTATTTCCTGGTTGGCAGAGGCACTACCACAGGAAGATCGGGAAGGAAGCAGAAGCGAGGATACCCAAGAAAAGCGAGCAGGTACAGGCCATTCTCCCCTGACGGCCAGTCAGGGTCTCAGGGCTGAGGTCTGGGGTTTCATGTGGGCTGTGTCCATCCCCAGTCACTTCTGCAAAGCTCCCCCACTGCCTGGCCCCCAGTTGACAGGCATGCCCTGAAGGTCAGTGACCTTGGCTGGAGGCCCTGCTGTCCCCTGTGATGCCTGGTGTCCCCTGTGAAGCTCTCAGCTCCTCAGGCCAACCTCTCACAGCCTAGAACACAGCCTCAGGACCATCCTCATCCCATTGAGCCATCCCTTCTTCAGGGCATTCTCCCCATCAGCACCTCCCCAGATGCAGGTGCTTTGTAACAGGGCCCATCCCACCCCCTGACCCCAAGCTCAAGCCCTCTTTCTGTCATGACAGGCCGAGATTAATGTCTTTTCCTCCTGACTCACAGAGGAGAAGGGGACCAGCCCCCCAGACTACCGACACTACCTTCGCATGTGGGCCAAGGAGAGAGAGGCTCAGAAGGAGACCATCAAGGATCTGCCCAAAATGAACCAGGTGGGCCAGGCAGGAGGCTGCAGCAGACACCTCTGCAGAACCCTGAGGGACACCGGGGCCCAGCATGCCATGTCAGCACCACGCCCCAGGGTCCACACAGGGTGGCACTCATTACTCACTAGCTCACTTGAGCGCCCAGGAGTCCCAGTGAGGATTCTGGAAAGTCAGGAGCTTGTTGCTCAGGGGCCATTTGCACAGGGACCACTTGTTCAGGTGGAGGGACAGTGGTAGGTCTGAGCAGCCCTGGGGAAGGTTACCCCACAGCTGCTTCCTCACACTCCCTGCCCAGGCACCCTGTGCACACAGGCTTGTCTGCTCTCCACTTCCTGCTCTCTGGGGACAGCAGCTTCTTTGTCTTCCCAAGGGTCTCCCAGGCAGGAAGGGGCAACCCCTGGGTTCAGCTGCAGAAAGTAGCCAGAGGCAGTCCCTGAACTACAGCCTGCCCTTAGTGCTTGGGCTGGGCTGGCCCTGGCTATGCCCAGAGGGGCCCTGTGAGCCTAAGCCTTCTCCAGCCTGAGGAATGGGTGGTCTCACCCCTCTCTCAGGCCAGGATGTGGTTTAGAGACCCAAGACCACCCTCACCCCCTCAGCAGCACCCTCTGGGAGCTTCCCTGAAGGTCAGAGTTGAAGTCGCTTTCACCCAGGAGCTAGAAGGCCAAGGGTGAGGCCAGACCCCAGGGAGGAAGCCATGGTCAAGGCCGGGTTCACACAGCCATGCATCTCCAACAGCAGAACCACATGTCGGAGCAGAGAGCCCAGCTCAGAGCTGCTGTCCACTGCAGGGGGAGAGCCCGGCAGGGCAGAGTGACTGCTTAGGTCCCTCCCGACTCTGAGCCTCCACATTCCCGTGTGTGAAGTAAGACTAGAGCACTGGTCTGGCACTGATAAACAGGACCACATCCTGGCACCAGTTCCAGTGGCCAGCAGCATGCGTGGAGTGAACACCAGGGCCATCTTACCATCTCCTTGTTCTGCCTTCCCCCTTGATAGGAGCAATTCATTGAGCTGTGCAAGACGCTATACAACAAATTCAGTGAGGACCCCCTGGAGCAGGACTTGTACCACGCCATTGCCACAGTGGCCAGCCTCCTCCGCATCAGTGAGGTGGGGAAGTTCTTCAGTCCCAGTGTCAAGAAGCCCACGGGTGGCACTCCCAGCAGGGACCAGGGCAGTTCCACAGAGGATGAGTCCCCACTGCCAGCAAGGGAACCCCCTCAGGCCCAGTACAGGAGCTCCAGCCGCCAGCCATGGGGCATCCCCAGTCACCAGCAAGGGAACCCCCTCAGAACCCAGTACAGGAGTGCCAGCCACGGGGGACCCTCAGTCACCTGCAAGGGAATCCCATCAGGACCCAGTACAGGAATGCCAGCTGACAGCCACGGGGGACCCCTGGACCAAAGCTGGTGGAGACACCCACCTTGGAAAAGTGCCACAGGAGAGACAGACGGTGGTAGAGGGGGGCAGTGGAGAGGGGCAGGGCTCACCCTCCCAGCTCCTGTCTGATGATGAAACCAAATACAACATATCCATGTCCTCCTACTCAGTGGTCAGCATGGGCTCCCTGCAGTGTGAGAACCCCACAGCCACTGCCCGCATTGGGAACACCATGGACGCAGACTGGTGCATCTCCTTCAAGCAGATCCTGGCCTCCATCCTGCCGGAGTCTGTGCTGGTCAACTTCTTTGAGAAAAGGGTGGACATTGGACTCAAGATGAAGGACCAGAAGAAAGTAGAGAGACAGTTGAGTGCCTCCAGTGAGCACGAGCCATCTGTTGCTCTGGGCTGAGCCCCTTGGCTGAGTGATTCTGGCCGAGGCCTCTGTCCCTCCCTCCTTCCCTTTGCAGTTTCTCATTAAAGACACAGCCCTCCTGCTCCCCCTTGGAAGCAGTGAGTTGTAAGTGAAAGGAAGGCTGATGCCAACACAGCTGCCTTAGAAAGAGTCTCTGGGCCTGCATCCCCTAGCACAGGCCAGTCCTGGGAACCAGGAATAAGTGGCAGCTCCTCCATTCCTCTCTGCCTGTGGCCTGGGAAGGCAGGAGAGGACAGCCCAAAGCCTTGAGACCCTTCACCCACATGGGAGACCTGGAAGAAGTTCCTGCCTTCTGGCTTTGCACTGGCTCAGCTCTGGATATTGCGGCACTTGTTGAATAAACCAGTAGATGAAAGATTTTTCTCTCTGTCTGTTCTTCTCTCTGTGAATCTGCCTTTCCAATAATAAAAAATCTTAAAAAATAAGAACACTTCTTAAAACAAAGTGGATGGGGCCAGTGCCACTGTGTAGTAGACTAAGCCTCCACCTAGAGTACTGTCATCCCATACAGGCACCAGTTCATGTCCTGCTTGCTCCACTTCCAATCCAGCTCTCTGCTTATAGGAGGCACAGCAGCCAACACATGAACTGACACCCATATGGGATCCTGGCACTTGCAAGGTGAGGATTTAGCCAGTTGAACCATCACACTGAGCCCCCAGATGCTCCACTTCTGATTGAACTTCCTGCTAATGGCCTGAGAAAACAGTGAGGATGGCCCAAGGGCCCTGCACCCACATGAGAGAACTGGAGGGTGCTCCTGGCTCCAGCTTCAGAGTAGCTCAGCTCTGGCCATGATGACCACATGGTGAGTGAACCAGTGATGAGAAGGGGATTTTCTCTCTCTCTGTACTCTTTCATGAAAGGGGAACCCTTTGTACTGAGCCCAGACAGAAGGATGTTAGGGTCTTCCTTTTGTCTTTTCTTCTTTCTTCCTTTCTATTCTTTTAGAAAGATTTATTTATTTTTATTGCAAGGTAAGAGATACAGAGAGGAGGAGAGACAGAGAAGACCTTCCATTACATGATTCAGTCCCTAAGTCAACACAACTCACGAAACTATGCCGAAACGAAGGCAGGGGTGAGGAGCTTCTTCCAGGTCTCCCGTGAGGGTGCAGGATCCCAAGGCTTTGGGTTGTCCCTGCCTGCTTTCCCTGGCCACAAGCATTAAGCTGGATGGGAAGCAGGGTTGCCAGGATTAGAACCAGTGCCATATGGGATCCTTACACATTCAAGGCGAGGATTTTAGATGCTAGGCCAGCATGCCATGACTCCTCCCTTCCTTTCTTAAGATTTATTTATTTTTATTGAAAAGGCAGATTTATAGAGAAAAAGAGGCAAGAGGAAGAAGGTCTTCCATCTGCTGGTTCACTACCCACGTGGCTGCAAAGACCAGAGCTGAGCTGATCTGAAGCCAGGAACCAGTAGCTTCTTCTGGTCTCTCTCGCAGGTGCAGGGTCCCAAAAACTTGGGCCATCCTCCACTGCTTTTCCCTCACAAGCAGAGAGCCAGATTGGAAGTGGAGCAACTGGGACATCAACTGGGGCCCATATGTGATGCTGCCACCACAAAGTGGAGGATTAGGCTGTGCAGACACAGTGCCAGCCTGCATAAATAAATCTTTTTTTAAAAATGAGGACAATGGGACAATGTGTGGTAAAGCAGATAAAGTTGCCACCTATAACACTGGCATCTCAAGTCGGCACTGGTTAGTGTCCTGGCTGCTCTATTTCCAATCCAGCTTTCTGCTAATGGCCTGGAAAAAGGGGTGGAAGATGGCCCTAGTGTTTGGGTCCCTGCCATGTAGATGGGGGACCTGGATGAAGCTCCTGGCTCTGGGTTGGCCCTGGGTTGGCCCAGAGCTGGCCACTGCAGCCATCCAGGGAGCAAACCAATGAATGAAGGAATCCTCTCTTTTCTCTTCCTCTCTTTGACTTCAAAAATAGATCTTTTAAAAAATAAGAACAGACTGTTCAATAAGTGGTGCTCAGAAAACTGCCTATTTAAGTAGAATGAAATCAAGTTAGATGTCTACCACCCATGGTTTTCTCCCCCTCCCTCACCAAAATCTTATATTTTATTTACCTTTTTTTTGATGAGGATGATTAAATATTTCTGAACATAAGCCACCTGAATCCCAGCTGAAAGCTAGAGCCACTGCTGGCATTCCATGAAAGCCAAGACTGCAATGAGGATCCTGCTATTCAGTCACTACTTTTTTTTAACTTGTATCAGCCAGTGAAATAGAAAAGAGAACATACTAAGAGGCATGAAAATCATGATTATGGGCCTGGCGGCGTGGCCTAGTGGCTAAAGTCCTCACCTTGAACGCCCCAGGATCCCATATGTGCACTGGTTCTAACCCTGGCAATTCCACTTCCCATCCAGCTCCCTGCTTGTCAACTGGGAAAGCAGTTGAGTACAGCACAAGGCTTTGGGACCCTGCATCATGTGGGAGACCTAGAAGAAGTTCTGGCTCCTGGCTTCGGATCAGCATAGCATCGGCTGTTGCGCTCACTTGGGGAGTGAATCATCGGATGGCAGATCTTCCCCTCTGTCTCTCCTTCTGTCTGTATATCTGACTTTCCAATAAATAAATAAATAAATAGTTTTTTAAAAGAAAAGAAAATCATGATTAGGTATACATTGTTGATCATTATTTATGGTTAATAGTATTTATACTTATCTTTAACCTGAAAATAGGAAAGCAAATGAGAAATGACTCAAAACAGTAAGGAAATCTAATACAGTGGGTGCAAACAAAACTAACACAATCTCCACAAGTTAATGTGGCTTTTATATAACAAACAACTAGTTACATGGAAGACCCAGAAGAGCTCGTGGCTTCAGCCGGCTTGCCTGGCACAGCTGCTGCAGCCAGATGGGAAAGGAAGCAGCAGATGGTAATCTGTGTCTCCCTCCTTCTGTCACTCTGCCTGGTAAAGCCACAAAACAGCAGCTTTGAGCTCTGTCTCACTCAGCCTTTCCAGAAGTAGTCATTTCTGGAAATCGGCAGATGTGGCTCTGGCACAATGGCTCAACTGGCTAATCCTTCACCTCCAACTGTAGCATCCAAGTGGGTGCTTGTTCATGTTCCAGCTGATTCACTTGCCATTTAGCTTCAGGCTAATGGCTTGGGAATGCAATAGAGCATGGTCCATAGCCTGGGGCCCCTGTACCCATGTGGGAGACCTGCAGGAGGCTCCTGGCTCTAGATTGGCTCAGTTCTAGCCATTGCAGTCATTTGGGGAGTAAGCAGTGGATGGAGGAGCTTTGTCTCTTCTCTCTAGAAATCTGATTTTCCAATAAAATAAACTTTTAAAAGACCTGCATATGCATAACTACTGGAATTGAACTCACTGGGGAGCAAGTGAGAGATGGCATGGCGTGTAAGATCTTTACAACTGTATGCTTCTGTCTGCCATCTATTAGATGATGAAACAATTTGATCTTTCCAGAGCTCAGCATTCTAGGCTCTGTAAGAGGGAAATGCTCCTGAATTCAGGGGAGGGGCTCTTGCAAAGAAATGGGAGAATGCCCGTGATGCAGATCTACGGCTGCGTTATCCTCCTCTGGGTTCGAATCCTTTTTCAGAGAGTTGAAAATGACCATGAGAACTGCACTACATTATCCACGTGCAGCAACTTAAAGATGCAAATAATTTCCATTCCATCAACTCTCATAATACACTGAAATAGGGAAGTAATACATGGGCTCAGCTCAGGCCGTTGCTATTTGGGGAGTGCACCAGTGGACTTTTCTCTCTCTCCTCTAGAAAACTCTTTCAAATAAAAATAAAGCGGCTTTTAAAAAGATGTATTTCTCTTGGGCCCGGTGTGATAGCATAGTGATTAAAGTCTTCATCCTGCAAGTATCGAGATCCCATATGGTTGCTGGTTCTAATCCCAGCGGCCCTGCCTCACATCCAGCTCCCAGCTTGTGGCCGCAGAGGGCAGTGGAGGATGGCCCAAGTCCTTGGGACCCTGCACCCACGTAGGAGACATGCAAGAGTTCCTGGCTCCTGGTTTAGGATCTGCTCAGCTCTGGCTGTTATGGTCGCTTGAGGAGTGAATCATCAGACAAAGGGTCTTCATCCCTGTTGTTAGACAAAGGGAATGTGGCCTGGGGGAGAGTGGACTGCAATATTCCTGTGCTGGGAAACTTTGTAACAAGCAGGTGAGCCTCAGCCAATGACATCAGCCCAGATTCTCTTCCTGGCAGACAGCTAAAAGTTTCCAGGAAGACAGGCAACTTTGTAACAAGCAGGTGAAGCTGTTTTTGTTCCTCCCTTCTCTTTGCTTTCCACAAAGAGTGTGCTGAGGTCTTAGAGCTGGTGCTTCTTCCTTCTTAAAAAAACTGCCTCATTCAACTTGTCTACTGTTTTTTTTTTTCCTTTTCACACCAACTTAATATTAAAAATGTGTTTTCATTTTGTGTCGAATTGATTTACATCTTAAAGAATCTAATACAGGTTAGTTGAAATGGCAATTCTTATATACACTGGCAAATCATACCATGTTTTAGGATATTGCCCTTAAGTCACTATCAAGCAAAGGTTTGTTTTGGTGCAGCAAGTGAAGCCACCATTGAGATGCCTGCATCCCATCTCGAGAGTCCCACTGGAGTCCCCGCTACTCCTCTTTTGATTCAGCTTCTTACCAAGGCATCCTGGGAGGCAATGGATGATGGTTCAGGTGCTTGGACACCTGCAACCCCTGTGGGAAATTCAGAGGGACTTCCAGGTTCCTGGCTTTGGCTACACCCACTCTGGGGAATTAATCAGCAAGCAGGAGATATCTTTCTGTCTCTCTCTGCCCTTCAACTCAATGAAAATAATAAGCAATATAAAAAAGTTCATTCTGAATTTGAATAAAGAAGAAAGAATAGGTTTAAAGACTCACACAAACACATAAATATCAGTGAAACGAGTTTTGTGTAATGACTTACTGCATCAGTTTTAAAAGGTGGTTCTTTTGGGGGCCCGGTGTGGCAGTCTAACAGGTAAAGTCCTTG